GTCCCACAGGCTTCTCCTGCCCAGCCTCCCGGTCAGAGTTCTCTCTACCCTGTAACATGAGGCAGCTGCTGGGTCTATCAGTCTGCTCCACCCAGCTCAATTCCACTGCAGAGCTCTTGCTCCTCTGGCAGCCAGAAGGTAACTAACTAGCTAGGCTCCGGCCTGGGCTGTTTATAAAAGCCCGGCCCTGCCCCCTGGCGGTCAGCTGACTCAATCAGTTGCTCTAGCAACCCTCACCTGGGCGGCCCTGAAGCTCGGCAGCTAAGCCCACACCACTATTACTAGTAGCAGGCACCCCAGTGTCCTGCTACACTTCTCCCCCTCCCAGGGTTGAGTCTCCTTAGGAGCGGGGCGCAGGAGTGCCCCGCAACACTGGGATGTGCGATTAAGCATCCAGGTGCCTTTTGTTGTCCATCACATAGAGAAAACACACATCTCCTTTAAAAAAACCTATGATAAAAAAAAATGCATAAGGAGAATATGCATTAAGCTTATACTGTTAAAAGACACCTATATTTTTCCATATTTCTATATTCTCAGATTACCAAGACAGACAGACAAACAGACTCTTACATCATTTGACTGCAATAAGAGAAACAAAATGAAAATAGTGATGTACTTCACACCCATTTCCATGTGTTTTTGAACAATTGTAAGAAAAACAAACCCAACAGGGAGCAAGCAAAGATATACGGACAAAAGTAATCCTAACAACACGTGTGACTTTTTCAAAAGGCTATGTTTTGCTTTTGAATCTCTGTATTACCTAACTGAAGACTGTTGCTACTGTACATCCAAAACAAGTAAACAAAAAAAAAAGAAATCTTGGGTAATTTGGTGTGAAGATTGTAAAATTGTATCTCTGATTGATACAATCACTGAGAAAGAAAAAAAATAAAGGACTATGAAAATTCTCTCATTCAGCTCCGCTACCTTCTTAATTTAACTGATCAGAGACAGACACCTCTAAAACTACTACAGACATAAACACCTATAGAAATCACAAGATAAGGTTATATAAACAATTCTGACACCAGTCTCACATCTGACCATCACATCAATAATACAGCTGCTGCTGCTAGGGTCCTGGGTGACAGCTGAAGAAAAGGAAAATGCTTGCATTAACACTTGCCTGGACAAAGAGCACAGAGCTTGTTGTTCCATTAAACGCATCTTTTCCAGTGTTATTCCTCCCAAGTCTACTCAAGAACAGCTCCAGCCCTACAGTCTTCACTAACTGATAACAATCTCTAGTTTCCTTTGCAACAGACAGACACTGGTTGGAGCTATTAAGATGCATTCACTAGCGTGAATCTGAAGTACTTATTAGGCATCTGAGCTCCACTGAGGAAAATCACAATGTAAGAGCTAACTATGATGATGATGCAGCATCATAGCATCTGAGCTTAACACAACTCTAAAAAACACTGCATTCTCATACAGGGTCCTGGAACCTGCCAGCCTGTTCAATATAATTTACATCATACATTCTGTGGAAGATGATTCACTGTTGATCTTAGCTGCTTGTATATTTATCTGCTTTAAGATCCCTCAGTAAAAGACTAGAAGTGAGGCTCAAAAATGGAATAAACAAAAAAAAATGGGGGGGAGAGAAGTAACAACTTGTTATCACCCTGATCATGTAATTGCTTTAGAATGCACAAACTTAATACCTGAAGAACCAAAGAAAGGGCATAAAGAAACATTCGCAATCTCTTTTCCCTTTTCTGCCTAGGTCCCCAGGAATTTACCAGGAGTTTGGACCTACAATCCAAGACCTAATGTTTCATTGTTAATGGAAGTCTTGATGTTAACACCCTAAACTATGAATGCACTAATATGCTATGGCTCCTAGGTTGAGCTGTTCCTCATTCCTAAATCTTGATTTCAAAGAAGATAAAATAATGAAATCAGATGATTAGTGCAATGATACCAAACTTTAAAAAAATCAACAAATTTAACTGAAACAATATGAAATCTGATAATATATTTCAAAATGTCATACAGAAATTAAAGAATGGTTGGAGATGAAAAATAATCATATCAGTGAAGATCCCCATCATATAAAAGTCCTGCCCTTTGGCAAAACTGAAGGGGAAAGAGCAGCTTATAGTAATGTTTTTGAATGTGGCTATTTGTAGACTGTTGCCACAGCCTCAGTATTGGAGCTTCTGAGAATTTGTAATTCCTAATGAAATCAAGAAAGGTTGTGGTTACTTAATTCCTCTGAAAATCTGATCTTTAAAACAGGTCCAAAAGCATACTAAAAATCCCCAATAGTTTATCTCAGTGAGATCCTCAGATGGAAAGTGCTATTAAATACAACATTATGGTACTTACTATTAAAATGATGCAAAAATTTAATTTACTGTCTAGGATCTCATCTTATCATTCAGATTTACAGACAATTTGTTATATATCTTAAGCACCAGCTCTGCATGTAAATCTCTATGGCTAGTGTCTTTGTGAATGAAAGGCAAGCAAAAACACAAATCACTGACATAGTTTTCTTTTATAAAATAAGTCATGATAAAGCAAACATAACACGTTACTTACCACAGTAAATAGAAAAGAACAAAATATCTTTTTAAGTGGTTAAACACAAAAATGGTATTCAAGCAACACATGTGTGTGTGCATGTGTAATATACGTATATTATACATATACATATATGCACATCCCATTAAAAGAATAACTTGGGAAAACTTACTGAAGTCCATGGCATGTCGACAATGCAACAAACGATTCAGGATTTCCTCGAATTTGGCCCTGGTAATAGCAATGCTCTCCTCCCTGCAATTGAAAACAGAGAATATGAAACTACCATGTCCTACAGCATCACATGCATGTCATGGTATTGCAGTGATTATGTTGCCAAGCCTGTCATCTTGGTGCCTAAAGTTCACTGTCACTCAGCATCAAGAGAAAGGAAAACTGCTGCAGAAAAAGAAAAACAGAAAACAATTAAAAAAGAATGAGTCATAAACATACCTAGTGTGCTGAACTGAAAGGAAACTGAGTGTATAATCAAATGAGAGAGGAGAGCAATGAAACATAATACTTGCCCTTTCCTTCTCGTAAATAATGGATGCAGATCAACAAATAGGAGCTGAATCCTACAGCTGTTACTCAACAAAATACCCACTGAAGTCAGTGAAAATCAGAACTGGGTCCCTAAACCAAGCTAAAACTCTACTCCCACTAGAATTAATCGTTATTATTAATTCCTATTAATTATTAAGTTATTAATTATTAACTTAGTAACTATTAATTATTAACTTAAAAGTTAACTAATTAACTTACCCAGGTCTGTTCTATGTCAGCTAAATTCTCCTGCTTCAGCAGAGGGGTCTTGCCATGGCTCTATAATACTTAAAACTAAAATATAAAACTATAATACTTAACTACATACACACATACTCATTTTTGGTGACAATGAGGGGCTCCCACCCCTATACAACCAGACATGGGAATATTTATGAGCATTTATCACAGGGGAATGCATAATAACTTTTCATTTTCACAAGCAGGCAATGACTTGAGTGAAAGTTTGAGGAAAAGCTGAAAGTCCTTAACATGTCAAATTAAATGCACTCAGATTCTACCCTGCAAAACATTGTTTCATAAACAATAAATTCAGTGAAAATAGAAAACATTAGTAGCTTTTATATAGCTTGGAAAGGAACTCTCCCTTGGTTTGGTTTTCTTTTTTTTTATGGGATCATCCAAATTGAGATTTTTTTTTTAAAAGACTAATGATCTGGGATGGCTCAGTTTTCTGGGGAGCTGACTTAAGATGCCTTACAGGAACCTGTTTTCGAGAACACTGGAGCACTTTTTAGAAATAAAGCCAATCTCAGGCTGAGCATATAAAATCATTAGTCCACTGCAGAAATCTTCTTAATATTTTATTGCCTTACTCAAAGACTTGATATCATGATATAGACCGGGGCGGGCAATTATTTCAGGTGGAGGGCCGCTTACCCAGTTTTGGCAGGCTGCCGAGGGCCACATGGGTAGCCCCACCCCTTGACAGGTGCCCCGCCCCCTGGTCACCATCTTGGGACCAATGTCCCAATGTCTTTGGTCCCAAGACATTGGTCCCATGTCCAGGGCCAGCACCGGTGGGGCCAAAGCAGGGCACAGGCTAGCAGGGGTCTGTGGAGCTGGGCTGGGCTGTACCAGCAGGGAGAGGGGAGAGCTGGCCTGGCTCCACAGAGCCCCTGCCGGCCGGGACCCTGAGCTCCTACCACCCTGCTCTGGGCCCTGCCGACACTGGCCCCGGAACACTGGTGCAGGCCCCGTGCTCCCACTGGCTCCCGCACCTGCTCACTCCCAGTGCCCCCCAGCCCCGCAGTACAGTTGGGGGCAGTGCACAGCCTTGACCCCCTGCTCGCCAGCAGGGAAGAAGCTGGTGCTGAGCAAAGTGAAGGGCCACTTTTCCCTGCGCTTGGCACCAGCTTGTAACCCGGCTCTGGCCTCGGCTGTCAGGGCTGTGCACAGCAGCAGCAGCTGCAGCCCTCCCATGTGCTGCACGAGGCAGTCTTGGCTGCTGCTCCCTGCCCAGAGTGCATGCTGGGCAGCCCACAGACGGCAGTGGCAAATACTGCCCAGCGCTGCAAGCAGGGGGGCCGCAGCTGCTGTTGCCACATGCAGCCCCGACGGGCAAGCCTGTAGCCGTGCAGGGCTCAGGCTGGCAGTGGAGCCAGGTTACAAGGTGGTGCTGAGTGCGGGGGGGGAAAAGTGGCTCCTCACCCACCCCGTGGCCAGCACCCCACACTGCAGCCACTTGCAGCCTGCCTGGGACTGCCCATGCCTGCTCAGGACAGCCCCACATGGGCTGCGAGCAGCTGCAGCAGGAAGCACCAGCCGCAGGGTGGGGAGGGGCCACTTTCCTCCATGCTGGGAAGGAGCAGGGAAGGAGCCCGGGGAAAAGTTGAGCACGGGCAGGGAAAAGCAGCCCTTCCCCCGCCCCGTGGCCGGCGCTCCCTGTTGCAGCCACTCGCAGCCTGTGCGGGGCTGTCTGGAGCAGGCCCTGGCAGCCCCACGCAGGTTGCGAGTGGCTGCAGCACGGGGCACCAGACATGGGGTGGGCAAGGGGCCACTTCCCCCCCCATGCTTAGCTTTTCCCTGGGCCACTTTTCCCCGGGCTCCTTCCCTGCCGGGGTTCTCCCCTACCCTTCCCCCCAACCTTCCCACTTACCTGAGGTTCTGGCATGGGACAGCCATGTGGTCCCAGACCAAAAGACCCTGCTGGAGATTCTGGCTGAGGGGTGCAGCTGGGCGGGCCCTGCTGTTGTGGGAGCCCACTGGGCTTCCCCTGGGTCCTACTGCCCTTGGTTTCTGTCATTTTTGACAGGAACCAAGGGCAGAGAAACATTAATTTTCTCAATTCTTTAAGGGCCCATGGTCCGGATAGAATGGCCTTGTGGGCCAGATCTGGCCTGCAGACCGTATTTTGCCCACCCGGTATAGACCTTAAAACAGTCTGTACCATATATTTGAAGGTAGGCCTCAGTTCCTAGGATGGTTACTGCTGTAGAACTACTTAATATGTAATTAGATAGATTGAAGACTCGCTTCTTTTCATGCAGAGTACCCTTATGAAAAAGTTTGAACCTATACTTCATTTTTATGCCTATTTGTTCTTGTATTTTACACCATCTCTTATTTCCTCTACTCCTTTGACAATGGCAGCCCCCACTGCCTACCAGTTTCAGTCACAAGAACCTCTGTTTTCCATTGTGATGCCCTTTATGCATGAAGCATGCTCACCAAAATACTGTGTAAAGCTACCCTATCCACAACAAGTTCTCCATTGGATGTCTACAGGAAATGGTCACATTACACAAGGTAGATACACATTCAGTAGAAACTACTGCTATTAATCTTGTTTATAATCTTGCAGTTTATGAAAAGAATAAAATGGAATGGATTAAAACTAGCTGTGTGCATGTCTGCCCAATATAAGGGCATGCTCTTGTTACTGTTTGTCTCACTTCCACTGTTCTATTCTTTCCAGTTTTTTTATTATACCCACTAGTGGCATCTTTTTTTAATTAGCGAAGATACTATGGACAGGAATCATCTTTTTTTTTCATTTGTACATTACTTGGCATAATACAGGGCCCAGTTGTGTGTAGGGCTTCAGAGCCTTCATGCAATAAATAGTAAAAAAGAAAAAAAACAGTGAGGAGTTAACACCCAAACAAATAATCAGCTAAATCACTGGTGCTTGACCTCTAGCCCATGGGCCAGACTCAGTCTGCAAAGCCATGTTGTCTGACCCACAGAGCTGACCACACAACCAGAAATTTGGCAGCAGGAAAGTAGTGTCAATTAACACTGTCACTGCTCCCCGACCACCAAATGTCCAAGCTCTGCCAGCCAGACAGCATGGCCCTGCTCATGCAGCTAGGGCGATGCGTGTAATCTGGCACAGGGCCCAATCCATCACTGGTATAGGGCTGGCGATAGGGCCAGGGTCTCAGCCAGGAGCTATCTTGTGCATAGGACCAGGGCCACAGCCTGACCAATGTATGAGGTTGGGGTTCAATCTGGTGTTTGGGCCAAAAACTCTGATCTGGCAGGGCCATTCCAGCATGTGGGGCCAGGACCAGAGCCTGATGCAGCACACAGAGTTGGGGCCACGTGCTGAACTGGCTCTGTGTGCTGGATCAGGCCTACAGACCATATCTTGCCTGTGGACTGACTTCACACCACTCATTCACCTACGGGACTGAAAGGTTGGGCACCACTGAGCTAAATGAATTTTTGAAACAGCTTATCATAAATATCTTTCCAATACACTTTTTGTTGAAGGTATTTCTGGGACAGGCATGTGGTATGTGAATAATACTAGAAGAGACGGATGGAGCCAAATGGAATTTTGATTAGTTCTGGAAGGAATTTTGGTAATTAGTCAAGACTGCTTTAGCCTCATAAAAAGTAGTGGAATATATATCCGCAATGGTGCCTGAGGCTTACTTATTCGACAAAATGAAATCTATGTAACCAGGAAAGTCATTTTTCATTCAAAATATCTGAGCTGCATAAATTATATGGCTCAAAAGAGTGTTTTGATCTCCTTAATGAGAATCAAATAAAATGTTCCATGATTGTACTCCAAGCGTTTTCATAATTCTTCAGTAAAATTATACCATAACAAATCTGTGGACAGAAATATGCTTTCCATCTACAAATCTAGAATAAAAACAGAAATAGCTGAAAGCAATCTTACAAAAGTTTTCTAGAAAGAGCATATCTTGGATGAAAAGGTTCTATTTTATTAATTCAATCAATTCAATTTGCTTATTTACCAAAGGTCACATAAATTCCGTTAGAACTGAGATAACCGGACTCCAACCGTATTTTTTACCAGTGTAGAATGTTCTTCCTCACATGTCAACATATAAGGGGCAATTTTATGATGGGCTCCCTTCTTATTCTTGGAGACAATGCAGAAAGCCAAAAGAAGACTGGGTAAATGTATAGGTGTACCTGGAAATATCTGTTACCCATGTGTCCTTAGTTATAATGATCTGTGGAAATGATAGATCTTGCCTTCAAGACTCTCTTAAATCAGGAACCAAGTGCTTGCCACAATCACAGTTAATGATCACAGAGACAGACAGAATGGAGGAGGATGTGTCAAAGTGAAACTGTGTGCACTCAGCATTTGAAAGCCCAGGGAGGAAAAGTAATTATTCAGTGCTGCCTGTTGGACTGTCTCACAAGATAAAGAGGACCTCCAGCAAGGCTGCCACCACACATGGTACAAATGGAAGAAAAGT